AAAAAATGCTTACGTACTGCGATTTTGTCGCGTCGGGAAGGTCATTATCCTTCATTGAGGAGCGTGTGCTCTCAATAATCCTACCTATGTATGCAAATACACATACTGAGATTTCTGCCACCGGCGTGTGGACTGGGTCCCGCAGAGAACAGGCTCGGGATAAAATCTTACAAGCATGTTGTGGCATTCCGTCTGATCATGTTGGTTTGTTTTCTGGAAGTGGTGCAACGGGAGCAATCGACACGTTCAAGCGATTTCTCATGCGAGACGAGGATAATAGTATGTGTAGCGAAAACGTGGCTGTCATTGTAGGCCCACACGAGCATCATTCGAATATACTACCCTGAAGGGAGAGTGGTGCCAAAGTGTTGCGGTGCAAACAGTCGAGTTCGGGGAATGTCGATTTGGATCATGCCAAGAATCTGCTCAAGAAGTACCACAATCGACAATTAATACTAGGAACTTCCAGTGCCGCATTGAATGTCGATGGCACACTCACGGATTCGCAAGCTCTCGAGTTGTTTCATCGCTTTGGGGCATACATCACATTCGACTATGCAGCAGCAGCTCCTTACGTGGATTTAAACATGGCACAGTCCGGAGCTGATGCTTTTTTCATTTCCACGCATAAATTTGCAGGGGGCCCAGGGACCCCATGTGTTCTTGTGTGTAAACGAAGTATCATGTCTAGGAATGCGACACCACATCGTCCCGCAGGTGGTACTGTACTACTTGTCACAGACGATACACATGTATATGTAAACAACCTTGTAGAGAGAGAAGAGGGCGGAACACCCGATATAGTCGGAGCAATAAGAGCCGGGCCGGTATTTCAAGTTAAACAAGATAGAGGTGCTTCGATTATCCATCGAATCGAGACCTCATTTTTACAGCAATTCCTGAAGCGACTTTGCAGTCTTTCCGGGTTGATTATTTTGGGAAGCTCGGAAACAACTAGATTAGCCAACCTGTCGTTCCTTGTGAAACACGGTGGTAAATTTCTGCACTACAGCTTTGTCACATAAGTATTAAACGATCTCTTTGGCATTCAGTCTCGAAATGGCTGCGCCTGTGCCGGTCCATACAGCCTACGTTTACTGGGCTTAAGCCATGCTGCTTCCAAAATAGTTGGGGTGTCAATCATAACGACAGGCGATAATATACTCAAACCAGGGTTTTCCCGTATCCAACCATCATACTTCGCAGTATGAAAGAGATCAACTTCATCATTGAGGCTCTCGAATGGGTCAGTATCAATGCTTGGAAATTGCTTGCACTCTACAAACCCAACGGAAAGACGGCGCAGCACGTGGTAGATGAGGCAGATCAACAGTGGCTCAGGAAGGCTATGGGACTGAAAAAGTGCGTGAAAAGAGTTCCTGACCTGTTTAAATGGGACTGGGATGATAGCTCATTTAAATCCGAACCGCTGCCCTCCGTGGATGTTCTTGATATTTACTACGATTGATGAAGGAATACAGTAAATACCAGTATACACCCATTCCTGATATGGTTCGTACAGGCGGAAGAAGCTGCTGCCGCTCTGTCGTCTGGCGCAACGCGGCTGGACGTATCTGCGAATGCCGGGGTGTGGCTATTCATGCCCCCCTCTGCTAGGAGAGATATCACTATGTCAAACCGAATGCTCTTGAAGGTATCTCGATCGGTCGCAACCCCGAGGAAATGTCGGGAACGAATCCAGGTAGTGGATGTACAGATGGCAAAGCTAGTGGAACCTTCTATACTCACTATGGCAAAGTTAGCTATACAGTCAACCGCAAAAGGAACCAGTGAAACTAAGTTCCATATCCGAATCGCTGCAAAATTAGGCCAGCTGACAGGGGGAAAGGATGATCGCTCAATTTCGATACAGGAATTCGAAGTATAAATCAGAACCTTTTACATGGCACAGCTTTCATGCACTCAGACATAAACTCTGACTCCGCCACCAATGGTAAGTCTATTTCACTTGTATAGGAATTTTCATCCTCAAAATGTAGTGCGAAGGATGCCAGAACACGTACCTGAGAATAACCATGTCCACCCACTCAACTATTGTCAGTGTTCTAGACAAGAGCGTACTTAAAGAAAGGCACCGAAGCCACAAATTCAGCTAAATCAAAAGATCATTGGCACATTAGCATGTTTTTAACCTAATAGCCTATGATCACTGTTCGAATACGACCCCAGTGTGAAACTCGCGAAATACAAGAAAGATTTCAGTTATTAAATTTCGCTTTTGACGCAGATAATCGATCGGGGTAGTGGCATAAGATACAATATAAGCGCACATACATGTGGATGTATTATCACTGAACTTTCACGCATACATATGTGTGCTTCTTCATCACTACACTTTCGCCAAGTGCGGAGAAATCCTCACGCGCTTATCGAACGGTGTATCATACTGCAATCCCATCGTGGGCAACGAATAACACCCGGCTAGTAAACCAACGTCCGCCAGTATCGTCTTTCCCGATTTTTGCTGAAGATAGTCCCGAATTAGAGGGAGCCAATGTCAAAGTCCACGCAATATGTATGCATTCGCCTGCAGATTCCCCCCGTGGTGCCCTGTAGTATATATATATATATATACATATACACACACACACACACATATATATATATTTACTTATATACCTATATA